TTTAATTTCAATAATGGTAGTACCAGTTGTTTTTTGATTATCAGTGAAATTCACTGGGCACATAGACAATATTTCAGAGCTTTCTTTAATGTCCTCTAAGGAAGAGATCTGATTGGGGAGAGGGAATGCCTCTGAAATCAAAGTTGTAGCTGAAGTCAGAGTTGGAACTGAAGGCAGAGCAGGATAGAGTACAATAGACTGTATTGGTTTAGGTAAAACCAATTGAGGCCCTTGGGAATAAGCAAGGTGGGCCTCTGCATTGCATGTAAGAGAGGCCAGAGGAAAAACAGGTGTACTGAAGGCAGAGGGGGATAGATTACAATAGACTGTATTGGTTTAGGTAAAACCAATTGAGGCCCTTGGGAATAAGCAAGGTGGGCCTCTGCATTGCATGTAAGAGAGGCCAGAGGAAAAACAGGTGCAATTGCATTGATTGCATATCTGCATATAAACCAAGACTTTAACACTGCAACAGGAGCTTTAGGCTCTGTGTGCAATATCTTTCCAATGATATCCCAGTCTTTTAAAGCCAAAGATCCAGTTTCAGGATACCAAGAGCATTGTCTCTGAATCTCAAAAAGCAATTGAGTTAGGGTCTCAGAAGAAACTGGCCTGCCAGCTTTCTGGGTAATAATCTGAAGTTCCTTTAAATGTTCCTGCAGGGGTAATGCTAGTTTAGCACCCATCTCACCAATGAGGGGTCGCTGAATCACGACGAGGAAGTACTTCTTGGGGCCTTTCGCCAGGCGTTAGTGAGATTGATCCGTAGATAAGTCCCTGTTCGGGCGCCAATTGCGGTGCTGCTCGTTAGGGTGTGGGGTGCAGGGGTGCAGGCAATTCAAAGACGACAGGATACAAGCTTGCAGGAACTGTCTGAATGAAGGAAGGAGGGAAGGAACCTCCTCCTCTCACGCAGCAGGTTTATTTATACACCTTTCTTCCCCCTTCTCCCTCCCTCCCCCTTCATAAGGGAGTTACAAACATTGGAGCATCCTTTTGGAATGTGTGTGTGTGTGTGTGTGTTTCCACGCAGCTGTCTGCTATCTGCCTTTCTCAAGGCTACTAACTGCGTAGTGAGCAGTAAACAGATTCCATCTCGGCCTCTCATGACGTACAAGCATTTCAGCTCCCAACCTCCAGCCAGGAGATTCCTGGACTGCCCTACAGAACTGCCCTGGTTATCCTTCTAAATAAGAACATAAGAGACGCCAATGTTGGGTCAGGCCAATGGCCCATCCATTCCAACACTCTGTCACACAGTGGCCAAAAATACCAGGTGACATCAGGAGGTCCAGCAGTGGGGCCAGGACGCTAGAAGCCCTCCCACTGTTGCCCCCCCCAAGCACCAAGAATACAGTGCATCCCTTGCCCCAGACTGAGGGTTCCTATCTATACCTTGTGGCTCTGCTCCATATGTTTATACAATTCCCTCTTGAAGCCATCCATGCTTGTAGCTGCCGCCACCTCCTGTGGCAGTGAATTCCATGTGTTAATCACTCTTTGGGTGAAGAAGTACTTCCTTTTATCTGTTCTAACCTGACCACTCAGCAATTTCATGGAGTGCCCGTGAGTTCTTGTATTGTGAGAAAGGGAGAAAAGTACTTCTTTCTCTACCTGCTCTGTCCCATGCATAATCTTATAAACCTCAATCATGTCACCCCTCAGTCGTCGTTTCTCCAAGCTAAAGAGCCCCAAGCGCTTTAACCTTTCTTCATAGGGAAAGTGTTCCAACACTTTTATCATTCTAGTTGCCCTTTCCTGCACTTTCCCCCAAAGCTATAATATCCTTTTTGAGGTGTGGTGACCAGAACTATACACAGTACTCCAATCTTAACACTGAATCAAAATAGGCTTTTTTTTTGTTCTTTAAAAGACGTGAACGGAGGCCAAATGCAACCTGCCCTGCTTCAGACACCTTTTTATCCTCTCCTTCTAGCCTAGTACTCTGACATCCCTTGGGTGTCCATTTTATTCAGGCCATCTTCAGGGAGAGGCAAGTAAGACCAGGGTCCCACACCTCACATTGGCCTGCCATAGGCTGGCAACAGGGAGCCAGAAGAGACTCCATTTTGAACCAGCCAAGCTAGATCAGGAGGAACCGAGCCCAGTAGAAGGAGCATGTACACAGGACCTCAAGATAAGCCAATAATTAACAAAGATCTTCATCAATGGACGAATCCTTAAATCCCATCCTCTCTGACCCAGACACCAATCTGGGTAAACTGAACTGTCTCCTTGAAGTAATTTCCAGAGTTTAGCACCCTTTCCCCCAACCAACATCAAGCCAATGGCATGCAGAAAGACAAACACTGGTGAAACCAAGAATCCTGCACATCCTCAATTTTAATCTGGCTACTCATTACACCCTGGGCCAGCCCACCCCCTGGCTCTCCAAACTAGAGATGTGAAGGCCCGGAAAAAAACCGGAAAAATTCGGGGGAAAATGGTTTTTTCCCGTTTTTTTGCTGAAGCCTTTTTTGTTTTTTTCCAAAAAATTGGAAAAATTGAAAAAAGAAAAAAAAAAGAAAAAAATTGATTATGGAACATTTTATTTTAACATGATGAATAAAATATTTTAAGACAAGGTGTTCAAATATTTTCCAAATCATTTCTAATATATATATATATATGGTATCAGATTGATCTAATTTCTGTGCACTGAGGACAAGCAAGTCGTAGGTTACAAACTGAACTCTCCAATGCAAGAACAAGATGCATTTCTTCCTTTAGGAGGTGCTATTGTCAGAAGAAAATAAAAAGGTTTCAGTTTTGTTTTTGCATGTGGGTGGGTATTCTGTTTGTAATAATTGTTTGGATACACTATATTTTTAATATGCTACTTGTGATAATTTCATGCCAAGTAAAAATGTCCAGTCATATTTTATGTTCCTAAAGTAACAGAATGACTTCCAATCTAGAAAAGACAAAAGAAATGCTAATGTAGCATTTTTTTCAATTTTTCCAAAAATTTCCATTTTTCCCCAAAAAAACCCGGTTTTTTTTCCAAGCTTCAAAATTTCCGGAAATTTTACATCTCTACTCCAAACCACATTTAAAGTGGCACTCTGCACCTTAATTTTTGTACAGCTCTTAGGGCCCATAAGAGTGTACCCTCAGACTCTGTCTGAGCCTGTGACATCAACCGTTGGTCAGCCTTGTCCTCCTCCTCCCATGTGGATTCCAGACTTCAGGATCAGGTGCATATTGCCCTATCTAAAACCAACCCCCTTCTTGTCACCATCGATCACTTCTCTATTTTCTAGCTCTGTGCGTTGATCTGTTGTTATTATTTTTGCACGAGTAGTGTGAGCTTTGCATTTATTTACAATAAAAACTCAAAGCTCTTCCTTCCACCGGTATCTCTTGCCATTTGACCCTCGTGTACACAGAGTATAAAGGACCCTTGTACACGTGTACTGCCCCAGGCAATCTGTGTAACATCTCCAACTGCCATTTTGCATCCAAGGGGGGGGGAAACCCAACCCTGTCTGGGAAGCTCCATTTCATCCAGTCAGCACCAAGCTCCATTCTGATTGGCACTCAGCATCACCCAATAGGAAGCCAGCCTTTTGAAGCTTTTATTTTACTCAGGCTCCTCTTCTACCCTTTTGTGTTTCTCTTTTAGCCTTCCCTCATCCACTTTACTAAAACCAGATAGTTGTATTGGTTAAATTTTCTGAACTGCTGAGCACTTTGGGAACCTTTTCTCGGGTGGTGTTTGAGGAGCCTGGAGAGCCACTCTCAAATTCCTGACTGTGGGTGACAGCAGAGAATACCAAGATACACGAGCTCTGAAGGAGAGATGGGATTTGAAAAATACTAAATGAATAAAGCCCACCTTCAAAGCAACACTATCATCATTGTGGGTGAGTCACTGTTCCCTCTAAGTGTGAGCTTGCTCACGGTTTTTTAGCCTCCGCCTCACACTTTTTTGTCTTTGCTCAGGAAGGGATGGCTCCAGGGCAAACTAATGTATGCAGCAGCCAAAATGCTCACTCACCACTTTAATGCCAGCAGCTCACAAAGTAGAATTTTTGCTCACACGACTCCACAGCTTAGAGGGAGCACTGGTGTGAGTGTGTGTATTTGAAAAGAAGACAGAATCCATTCTGGGATCAGCCTCTCCCACATGGAGAGCTCACCCATGAGCAGTTCTTTCTGGCAGACAGCCTCAGGGAGGCTCTAGCAGCTTGGGAAGTGGCAGTGTTGCCTTCCAAGGACCCAGCCAAGCTACGTAGACCCACTTCACCCCTAAATAGGGTTGCCAGACCCCATGGTGGTCCCCTGCTGCCGCCCCCCGCCCCCCAGACGCTAATCAGCTGGCCAGCAGGGGGACTTACAGAAGAAATAAGAAGGCCTAGACCTCATTGCCAGCAACCCACAGGAAGTGACTTTTATCACACCAGAGACTTTTGGGTGACACTCTGTTATTTGGGCAAAAATTCTATGGTGGAAACCAGTTTTATCACAGAGTTTTTGACCAACTACAAGAGCATTTCCCAGTTGTCACTGAAATGATGTCACTTCCTGTACAACCCCAGCAACGTGGCTTAGGTCTTCTTTCTGCTGCCAAGTCTCCCCCATCCCCTACCAGTTGCCAGGAGGATCTGACAGACCTACCCTCAAATATATTTTCTTAACCTGTTCCCCACAGCTGGCTCAAGAGCAGCACGATAGCAGGAATTAATCGGGAGAGCCAGGTTTGATGCCCCACTTCTCCTCCACATGAAGCCAGCTGGGTGACCTTGGGTCAGTCACAATTCTCTCCGCCCCACCTTCCTCACAGGGTTTCTGTTGTGGGGAGAGGAAGGGAAGGCAACTCTAAGCAGCTCTGAAACTCCTTCGGGTAGAGAAAAGCAGGGTATAAAAACCAACTCTTCTTCTTCTCTCTTGCTTGCAGCATATATGGCCAGCCACCTAAGATTGCCAACTCCTCATAAGGAAATACCTGAAGATTAGGGGGGTTGGAGCCTAGGGATAGAGGTATAATATACCACCTTGCACAGGAACTATTTTCTGTCACCTGGGGATCAGTTCTAATTCTGGGAGATCTCCAGGCCCCACTTGGAGGTTGGGAGATCTCCGGGCCTCTCTTTCCAACTTCTCTTTCTCTGTGTTCCTGCCAACTGCTCTTCTCCCTCCAAGGCATCATTTCCCTCTCTCACAGCAGTTCTCAACCTTTGGCAGTCTGGCGAAGCCTATGAACCCCTTCTCAGAATAATGTTTTTAAAGGCATAAAATAAAAGACAGAGCATTACAAAAGAAAACAATTATATTGAAATACAGTTATCAAAATATTTTTTTAAAATATCATAAAGTAATATATGTGCTTCTTTATTAGTGCATTAAGTAACAACTGGAATTTGAGTGAACTTGCCTGGCATACCCTCGTAGGCCCTGAACCCAGCTTTGTTACAAAAGGCTGCACAGCATTATGGAGAGGTAAGAATTCTCATTTGAACTGTCCAGTTTTGCAGAACTTGAACAAAGAATGAAAACGACTCACTTCCTCCCATGTATTGATCAACAAACAACTGGAGACAAGGAATACAGTAAATTTATCTATTTATGTATTAAATTTGGTTTTTAGACCATCCGCCCCTGTAAACAGGGCCCGGGGTAGTGTACAACAATAAAACAACATTCATATATTAATTCATAATTAAAAACAGGAAAAAATTAAATAAATTAACCTAAGTAGATGGCACTAAACATTCCAACTGTGGCACTGCCTTGCAGTGGTGAGGCAAGAGACAGGCGTGCCAGGCAGATGGAAACTATCGCTGTCCTCAACGAACACCTGGTTGAGGACAGTCAGAAGGTCCAAGGATCACACCCAACCAGGGGTTCACAAAGTCAAAGCTGGTCCAGGGTTGCACAGGTGAGGCAGCTCCAGGAGCTGTGGTCACTGAATCTAGCAGAGCACCATGTTACTTCCACAACAAGCAGACTCCCTGAGCTGGTTTTATAGGCATCCACTAATGAGCCTTGTTCCCCCTCATGGATCACTGCCTTGTCGTGGTGAGGGGGCTTGCGTGGTTCGATGAAGCTGTGGGCTATGCTGTGGAGGGTCACCCAAGATGGACAGGCCACAGCAGAGAACTCAGACCAAGCGTGATCCCCTGGAGAAGGAAATGGCAACCCACTCCAGTATTTTTGCCAAGAAAACCCCATGGACAGTATCAAAAGGCTAAAAGATATGACGCCGGAAGATGAGCCCCTCAGGTCGGAAGGTGTCCAATATGCTACTGGGAAGAGCAGAGGGCAAGTACAAGTAACCCCAAAAAGAGTGAAGCGGCTGGGCCAAAGCCGAAAGGACGCTCAGTTGTGGATGTGTTTGATGGTGAAAGGAAAGTCCGATGCTGCAAAGAACAATACTGCATAGGAACCTGGAATGTCAGATCTATGAATCAAGGTAAGCTTGACGTGGTCAAAAATGAGACGGCAAGACTGAACATTGATATCTTAGGAATTGAATTGAGCTTGAAGCTCAACATCAAAAAAACTAAGATCATGGCATCCGGCCCCATCACTCCTTGGCAAATAGAAGGGGAAGTCGTGGAAGTAGCGACAGACTTCACGTTCCTGGGATCCCAGATCACCACAGACTGTGACAGCAGCCATGAAATTAAAAGACGCCTGCTCCTTGGGAGGAAAGCGATGGCGAACCTAAACAGCATGATAAAAAGTAGAGACATCACCCTGCCAACAAAAGTCCACATGGTCAAAGCAATGGTATTCCCAGTAGTCATGTATGGCTGCGAGAGTTGGACTATAAGGAAGGCCGAGCACCGAAGAATAGATTCTTTTGAACTATGGTGCTGGAGAAGACTCTTGAGAGTCCCTTGGACTGCAAGAAGATCAAATCAGTCAATCCTAAAAGAAATCAACCCGGACTGTTCCCTGGAAGGCCAGATAATGAAACTGAAGCTCAAATACTTTGGCCACCAAGTGAGAAGGGAGCACTCACTGGAGAAGACCCTGATGCTGGGAAAGATTGAAGGCCAAAGAAGACGGGGACGGCAAAGGATGAGATGGTTAGACAGTGTCATAGATGCAACGAACATGAAGTTGAGCCAACTTCAGAGGACGGCGGAAGACAGGAAGGCCTGGCGGGATCTGGTCCATGGGGTCGGGAAGAGTCGGACTCGACTGTGCAACTGAACAACAACAGCAAAATGAGCCTTGTTAGCAGCCGACTGCTGAAGTGTAGCTCTGCAACTACTCCAGGATGCTCCCAGCAAGACGTTGGTGATGGGCCAGAAGCTGAGCACTCTGTCATCTTTTTTGCAACTCCCTTCTTAGCTGCTGCACTCAGTGCTCAAAGGGTGGAGGTGAGGCTGGTGGACTGCTAGTGCTTTACTGAGATTCACCTGCTGCATCAGGGCTGGTAGGTGGTGGCTCTGAGTCAGCTGCTGATTCTGAGCCTTGATGGGCTTGCAACTCCTCTCCCAGCTTGTCTTCTGCCGGCTCAGAGCTAGCCACATGAAGCTCCTCTTCTCCCAAGGAGTGCCTGCTGCTGCTGAGCTCTGGCCCATGAATCTAGCGTGGGAAACACCCTGGCTCTGGTTGAGGACAGTCAGATGTCTTCTGGGCAAGGGATCACCAGTAAGTTCTTATCTGCTGAGGACCATGTTCTTCGAGGGGTATACCACGTGAGGTGGTCCCAAAGATACGTGAGTCCCAGACCATTAAGGGTAGATGTCGGGGTCACCAATGTGAGAACACCCAACTTCACTGTTTTGTGGCTGAATGACGAGTAGGCAGGGCCGGTTCGCTCACTAGGCAAACTACACGTTCGCCTAGAGCATGAGGCCATCATGGGGGCGCCGGGCCAGGGAGGGGTGTGCCACAACACCCCTCCCCCAGTCCCCTGCCGCCCAGCTGGTTCCCAGCCGGCCGAAGCAGACGCGCCGCCAGTCTCTGGCCACTTGGCCTCTGGATGCTCGCGCTGCAGGCCCCATGGCCCAGGCCGAGGGGGCCGAGCCGGCCGCTGGCCTCCGCGGCGACGACGGTGAGCCCGGCCCAGTGGCGGCGTGCCTTCGAGGGCGCAGACCCTCCAGCTGCCGCGGATCAGCCTACCGGATCAGCTGTCGGAGCTCGGCCGAGATGGGCATGCGGGCGGTGGGCAGCGAGACCCTCCCCGAGGTGGACCTCTTGCCCCCGCCGCTGTACTGGGCACAGCCGTGCAGTAGGAGGAGACCGAGACCTGCACCATTGCCACCTCCCCCGATGGCCGCTTCCGGAAACTGTTGCAGACTCCGAGGGCTTCGGAGCGCTTGCCGAGCGCATGTTCCTCGGGGTCCCGATGAGCCCCGACGCTGCTCTTTTGAGACCGGGGCCTCTGGGGGCGATCGCCTGGGGGGGAAGTGCGGGGTGGTGAAGGAGGGCGGGCTAGAGAGGAGGACACGGAAGTGTGCTGCCAGGGAGCCCTCTTGGGCAGCCCCCTGGCAAGTTGCGGGGGGGAGGGCGGGACAGAGGTGAGTGGGGCCGGGAAGTACACGTCCAACCGGGATGGATCAGAAGAGGGTGGGGGGTGCTCGCATGTCGCTGCTGCTCGGGTTGCTGATTCTGGGGGAGGGGGCAGGGGGGACCCCACAGTGTCCCATGGGGCTGCTGCTGCAGGGTGATGGACAGGGCAGTAGTGGGGGCTGCCGACTCGGGCAGGGGCGAGGCTAGCTTGTGGTGCCCCCCCTCCCGGGCGTGTTTTTGGAAAGTCTCCAGGCCCCCCTGGGAGGTTGGCATCGCCTGGGGGCGCCACAAGCTGGCCTCGCTTATGGCACAGAAACACCTCGGGCTGGCCCTGCGAGTAGGTGCAGAGTTGCCCGATAGTTGGCCAGCTATGTCACACAAGTGTCTTTAGACAGGCAGACTGCGATAGTGTGTGATCCAGTGGCAGGTCTAATAACTAATTTTGGAGAAGCGAGGAGCGTAAACGATATTTTGAGATATCTGCAACAACTGTAATATGATAAGAAAAAATGTGATTTTTCGGGGTGACAAAGTCACGTGTACTGCTAATATTACTGCTAATACTACCGTGGTTTTTTGCCTCAGAATAAAAAAATTGCTGAATTTCAGTTAGAGGTTAGTGAAAATAAAGAGGTATGTTTCTCCCATCCAAGTTCATAGACTCCCTGAAATTTATCCACAGTCATCCGCTATCCTTGATGTGTCTGTTTCATCACAGGATTTGGAAAATAGGTATGTTTTCTGCCAGATCTGCAGATGTCAGGGGTACTTAGTTTGGCAGATAGACTAAAGGAGGGCAACCACTAAAAAGGCCCTTCTTTGCTTAACTATTTTCAGAGCATTTCTGAGCCTCCTGGGTGTTCAAAGAAGAAGAGGAGGAGATTGGATTTATACCCCACCCTTCACTACCCAAAGGAGTCTCAGAGTGGCTTACAAACTCCTTTCCCTTCCCCTCCCCACAACAAACACCTTGTGAGGTAGATGGGGCTGAGAGAGCTCTGACAGAAACTGCTGTTTTTTAAAAACAGCTGTGCCAGAATTATGGCTCGCCCAAGGTCACCCAGCCAGGTGCAAGTGGAGGAGTGGGAAATCAAACCCGGTTGTCCCAGATTAGAGTCTGTGCACTTAACCACTACACCAAACTGGCTCTAAGAAAGGCCTCACCAGAACCCACTAATGAAAGATTCACCCTTGTGTGGGTTACTTGAGAAACAGGAAGGCTGGATCTCTGCCTCAAGCTCCTGCTACATAGTGAGTGTTTATAAGGTTCCTCCCCTGTGTGGATTCCTGAGTGGTTAAGGAGATATGGGCCATTCTTGAAAAATCTCCTTCCACCCTCAGAACACATCCTTTCTTTCTTCCCTGTGAGATATAGTTGAGCTCTGTCCTCAGTTCAAATATTTCTATCATTTCTTCAAGGTTGGGATAAGGATTCTGGGCAGATACAACCACTTTACAAGAGTTTACATGGTTTCAACCCCTTCTATGGTCTGTGGTTCTATTTTTCATGTGAAATAAGAGGAAAAACTCTTTTTACAAGTCAAATGCTTACACGTGTGAGTTCTTTGATGATGCTGAAGATTGTCATTCAGACTGAATCTCTTTCCACACTTTGAGCACTCAAAAGGTTTCTCCCCTGTGTGAGTTCTTAAATGCTTGTAAAAATGACTGCTCAGATGGAATCTCTTTCCACATTCTGATCATTCAAATGCTTTCTCCCCAATTATTTGAAGTTGTAGAAGACTGCTACTCTGACTGAATTTCTTTCCACACTCTTGAGCATGGAAACAGTTTATCCACTGTGTGCGTTCTTTGATGCAGCACAAGATTGCCACTTTGACTGAATCTCTTTCCACACTGTGAGCATTCAAAAGGTTTCTCACCACTGTGGGTTCTTAGATGCTTTTGAAGGTCGTAACTCTGACTGAATCTCTTCCCACACTCTGAGCAATCAAAAGGTTTTTCCCCTGTGTGGGTTCTTTGATGCCGTTGAAGATGGCAAATTCGACTGAATCTCTTTCCACACTCTGAGCATTCAAAAGGTTTCTCCCCTGTGTGGGTTCTTTGATGCTGTTGAAGATTACCTGTGTCATTGAATCTCTTTCCACACTCTGAGCATTCAAAAGGTTTCTCCCCTGTGTGGGTCCTTTGATGCTGTTGAAGATGGCCACTCTGACTGAATCTCTTTCCACACTCCAAACATTCAAAAGGTTTCTCCCCTGTGTGGGTTCTTTGGTGCCGTTGAAGATGGCCACTCTGACTAAATCTCTTTCCACACTCCAAACATTCAAAAGGTTTGTCACCTCTGTGGATTCTTAGGTGCTGTTGAAGGTCATAACTCTGACTGTATTTCTTTCCACACTCTAAGCATTCAAAAGGTTTCTCCCCTGTGTGGGTTCTTAGATGCAGCTGCAGGTGGCCACTCTGACTGAATCTCTTTCCACACTCTGAGCATTCAAAAGGTTTTTCCCCTGTGTGGGTTCTTTGATGCCGTTGAAGATGACCACTATGACTGAATCTCTTTCTACACTCTGAACATTCAAATGGTTTCTCATCTCTGTGGATTCTAAGATGCTGTTGAAGACTATATCTGTGACTGTATTTCTTCCCACACTCTGAGCATTCAATAGGCTTTTCTCTTGTGTGGGTTTTTAGATGCTGTTGAAGCTTGCCACTCTGACTGTATCTCTTTCCACACTCTGAGCATTGAAAAGGTTTCTCCCCTGTGTGGGTTCTTTGATGCAGTTGAAGATGGCCACTCAACCTGAATCTCTTTCCACACTCTGAGCATTCAAAAGGTTTGTCTCCTGTGTGGGTTCTTTGATGCAGCTGAAGATGGCCACTCAACCTGAATTTCTTTTCACACTCGGAACATTCAAAAGGTTTCTCACCTCTGTGGATTCTTAGATGCTGTTGAAAACTACATCTGTGACTGAATTTCTTTCCACACTCTGAGCATTCAAAAGGTTTCTCCCCTGTGTGGGTTGTTTGATGCTGTAGAAGATTGTTACTCTGACTGAATTTCTTTCCACACTCTGAGCATTCAAAAGGCTTTTCACCTGTATGGGTTCTTAAATGTTGTTGAAGATTGGAACTGAAACTGAATTTTTTGCCACAATCTGAGCATTCAAAAGGTTTTTCCCCTGAGTGGGTTCTTTGGTGTACAAGGAGCTCTGATCTGTATTTAAAGTATCTTCCACACCGAAAGCATTTACATGCTTTCATTAAAACGTGCCTTGGGAAATGTAGATTTCTCTGTCTTCCATCAGAGAATGTCATTCCACTCTCTGAACAGATAAATGGCTTCTCTCCTGAATGAATGTTTTGGTGTTTAATAAGGTCCAATTTCTGTGAGAAACTCTTGTCACCGTTTGAGCAACTATAATGTTTCTCTCCTCCATGTGTTCTTAGTTGTCTAATTAGTTCTGCTCTACAAAGGAAGCTCTTTCCACACTCCAGATATTGATGGGTCTTCTTTCCACTGTGCTTTTGCAAATGCATATTATATTGGGTTTGACCTGAGAAGTTCATTCCACACTCCAAGCACTTGTACGCTTTCTCCACCATGTGAATTACTTCACGGAAATTCCCCCCTTGGCAAGGAATGGATTGATCCCTCTTCTGGACTGTGTGGCTTCCCTTCTGCCTCTTGGGTCTGCCTTGATTCTTGAAGTTTCCTCTCAAGTCTTCATTCTTGACTTCTTCTGGCAATAGATGATGCAGTTCCTCATCCTCCTTGTTCCTCTGATCATGCCCTGTTGGAATAAAGAGAGATCTCTCGTTAGCACCCACATAAGGAGGTCTGATTTGCACTTGAAATTCCATCCACACCCAAAGTGTCTCAGGGGCTTGTGCCTGCTGTACATTGAAATATACAATAATAGACACTTTAGAAGGGGGTTCCTGCCTGCTGTGTGGTCTATCTCTGAAGTTTCCCTCAGCCTCTTCATTCTTGGCTTTCTCTAAAGAGAACCCCTGGAATTCCCCAAGTGTCTCCTCCACACCCGCTGCTGGAATGCAGAAAAAGGTCCAATCAGAACCTATGCAAGAAGCCGGGCCACTAATCAGGCACTCCTCATTCATGAGTGTTCATTTCCTTTGGTAGAACTTCTTTTTCTCCAAACATGTTTGCTGTGGGGGAGGAAGAAGCCAGGACCTCACCAAGTGAACACCACAATTCAAAGTGTACCCCCTCAATGTTCCCTCTAAGCTGTGGAGTCTTGTGAGCAGAAATTCTATATTGTGAGCAACTGGCATTCAAGTTGTGAGCGGGCGATTTGGCTGCTGCATCAATTAGTTTGTTCTGGAGCCCTCCTTCCTGAGCCAAGACAAAAATGTGTGAGCCAGAGGCTAAAAAATTGTGAGCTAGCTCACACTAACTTTAGAGGGAACACTGCCCCCCATGGTTTTGGGACGGACATCAGTTGTTGGGGGGACGGTTAAGGCATCTAGGTGACAACTGAAGAGAACTGTTGATGTCCCTTTTGCCTTGTTCAGCCTGGGTGTTCTTAAGTAACCCCCCCCCCTTTCCTCCATAATATCCAATATTTAAGGATACCGCAGTCCCTCAAGGCCCATCACTGAGGTCAGGCCCAGATGGAGCTTCTGAGCCTCCAGATTTCAGGTCCCAGAAGGCTTCCTTCCCTCCTAACCCAGTGGGCTTTATAATTCTACCAAACCAAAAGATGCCAAGAAGGAGAGCGGAAACCCGCCATGCCCTAGTCTCTATCAGATGCATTCCAGTCTCTAAGCTCATTATAGCATAGCTAACACAGTTGGGGACCCCCAAAATACGGCATAAGACCGCTGCCTGGATCTGCTCAAGCAGGGTATTGAAGGCACTAACCCAAATGGGGATCCCGTATAATAGCTGAGAAATTGTTTTGGCATTAAAGACACGAATGGCAGCTGGGACAAATTGATTGCCCTTCTTATAAAAGAAACTAACCACCGCAGACGCACTACACCTTGCTGAGATGACTGCTTGCTTGCGTTGTTCTGTCCAATTATGGCTGTATTGAAAAGAAACCCCCAAGTATTTAAAAGATTTCACTTGTTCGATATTTATTTACTTTGACACGCCAGCTTTGTGGTTTTCAAGACTTTGAGAATACTAAAATTTTGGATTTGCATAGTTTAGGGACAGAGAGTTTGCCTCACAGTAGGAGGGGAAGGCAAGTCGCAGACGCTTGAGACCCTTCTGTGAGTGTGATAATATGACAGCATCGTCAGCATAAAGCAATAACATGTGACCCAAGTTTAGGGAAATGGACATCAACAATGTTTAGAAAGGGAGCCAAATCATCCAGAAGTAAATTCAACAGGTAGGGGGCTACGATACAACCCTGTTTGACTCCCTGGCTGGAGGAGATTTTTGAACTTAATCCACCTGGGCAGTTGTACCGCACTTGACAGCTATTAAAGAAATAAATTTTACGAATAAGGAAAAGTAAGCGTTTATCTACTCCCATATTATCCAACTTATTCCAAAGAAGGTCCCTGGGAAAGGAGTCAAATGCCCCTTTAAATCAAGGAAGGCTGAAAACAGCCTCCTCCCCCGGTACCACTGTATTTCTCTTTCATATGGTTGAAAGTGATACAGTGGTCCAGAGTAGACTTGCTGGGGCAAAATCTGATCTGTTCCCTACTCGGGAGATTTTGCTTTTGCATCCAGGAAATGAGTTTTTCCAAATGGTGTCTCACATATAGTTTGCCTGCTATGTCAAGCAGACTAATTGGGCAGTAGTTCTCCGGTATTTGCGGGTCACCCTTCTTATAAATCGGGACAACAATGGAATTTGTCCATGAATCAGGCAAGTTCCCCGTTTTATCAATCATGGTAAAGAGAGTTGCCAGAGGAGGGGCCCACCAGTCCATCTTCCATGCAGAGGGACTAGGTTAAGCTATTGATTGCTGTTTATAAAAATGAATTATAGCAAAAGTTATGATGTTATAAATTTGCAGGGCTTCAGAAGGATTTTTAACTTCAACCAATTGTTGATTTAGTTCCATCAATTTACTCTTTTGGAGCAGCTGGTTAATACTTACTTGGACTTTCTCTGACCATCTAACTCTTAGTAAAGCAGGAATATCAGAGACAGGTGATGAGTAATTGACAACTTCGAGTTTTAGTAATGTAATCAGAGGGAAATGATCACTATCCGAGCTCTCACCCACGAAAAAAATCTGTAATAAGTTTCCTCAGATTGGGAGAAACAATAACATAATGACACTACTACCCAGTCTAGAGCTAAATGTGTACTCAATGGGGATTAATCCATACCAGATCACGGTTGGAGCGGATGGCTAGAATCCCATTCCAGGGGAACTGTGGCTGCGGTCACATGGAGCAGTAGCCACGCTACTGAGATGGATGATAGGCGGATTTTCTGGGCGCGATCACAGTGCCACATCTGGGAAGCGTAGAGCTCCCATGGCGAACCCAAGGCTTCCCTCCGAAGATGTGCAGTTAAAAACGAGTACCTCCGAGGTACTAGCTTCCAGTAACCGCGGGGCAAGGGCGGGCGTCTGATTGCGTTTCCGGTGGCATCCGGTGCCCGCCCATGTCCCCTCGCAAAAAGGTGTGTCCCCCCCACCCCACCCCGGGGTTCCCTTCCCAGCAGCGCCGTTCTCTTCTAGCGCAATGAAGAGGAAAGAAGTGCAGACGAGTTGTTGTGGGGGAGGGGGAGAGAGAGCTTCGCACCAGCCAGCCCCCCGGCACCTTCCTGGGATGAGCAATGCTGGCATCACCTCCTGGGCAAGGCACGTGTGCCGGGGGCGAGGGGGGGGCGTGATGACAACGCGGGGACTCAAGGGAAAGGCCACGGAGCAGGCAGGGGGTTCGTGGGTGGGGGTGGGGTACGACATGCAAAAAGTTTTTTTTCAAGTCTCCACGGGATGTGCACAAGCACCCAACAGCACATGCGCACACTTCAGTTTAAAACCAAAACACACACCCATTTGCCGCACCGCTTCTTCCCCCCCGCATTTTCCTGCCCGTGTGACCGGGGCCTGTGTGTTGTAAAGGTTGGCAACTGAGAAATCAGGCTCTGATTAATGCCATGGGACTCCCCCCTCACTGGGGAACTCCATTTTGGATCCCTGTATGCTGGCACATCTTAGCCTGGGCCTAGCAATGAAAAATGGAGTCTGGATCAAAGGGATATCAAAACGACAGTGAGTCACACTGAGAGCGTGCAAGGAATGTGAAGGAACTCCTCCACTAATCATGCAACAGCCATATCTGGTGGGAGTCCGCCGAAGGGCCTTTCCCCCAACGACCTCAGAGCATCCCTCCCTGCTAAATAAATAAATCATCTGGCCTGAATAACGACCCAAGTAATCAAGACAATGTGCAACGGGCCAGCCCCAGCCATTTCTTCCTTATCTTAAGTGCTGGACAGGAAGAGTTCTCCCCCCACTCCATCATGTAAACTCAGTCATCTACTTGCCTATCTAAACCCTCAGTCTCCCTGAAGGAACATTTCTCCTTGAGACTCCCTACCTGTAATGCAACAGAAGAAAAACTCCCCTCCGCAATGCACATAACCCCGCCCCCCCCATTTCAGATTAGCTCATCTCTAGAGACACAGACTTTTCAGCACTCCCACATTACAATGCCAACACCTTTGTTCTCCTCCTTCATCTTAGCAGGAATGTAGAAAAAGCTATCCCTCAGGCCATCCAATTTGCAGCAGGTTTTGGACACCCAGCCTGTTCCTCCTACTATATGGCTGGCTTCTCTCCTTTCCCACCCTATTCTGCTGTGCTTCTCCAGAGCTGCCCGGCTGTCTTCAGGAAGCAGGCTTGTATGCCTTGGACTCTTCCCTTTTATTTTCTCCCTTCATAGCTGGAAGTTGGTGAGGGAAAGGGTTTAAACTGTGTTTGCACTTCACGTGTGCATTTAGTTCCGTTTCCTAGCACCTCTATTTTTATTCAACTGACCTAACCCACTTCTCTTTCTGTTAACTTATTAATTTCTGTTAACTTAAGAAGAAGAAGCTGATACCCTTCATTTCTTTTGAGTGTTGGTCTGTATCTCAACCCTAGTAGGCATAGGTATATAATCTAGGGAATTAATACCCCACAAAACACGTGTTTTCTCTTTGCTAGTATGAGGACGCTTTTACTAGTCACAGGGGTGGATGTCCATGAGTGATTTGGGTCACAGACAGTGTTCCCTCTAAGCTGAGTTAGTGTGAGCTGGCTCACAGTTTTTTTTAGCCTCTGGCTCACACATAGTTGTCTTAGGTCAGGAAGGGACGGCTCCAGAGCAAA